AGGTCAAACATCTGTAGTCTCGTAGGTCTCTTCTCCCTCTCCCTTCTCGAGGCATGCGTGTGCGGGTGGCATGCGGTGCACTCCCTCAGTTGGAGACGAGGTAGTCGCAGGAGGCACCGTCTTTCCTTTATTATGTTCACGTCACCAATTCCGGCCCCCTCTCTCACGACCACGCTGCCGTACGGCCCGGCCCGGACACGACCCTGCCCGCATTGTACCGACGGCGTCGACCGAGACAGCCAACTCCTGTTCGGCCGCGCAATGATCGAGCAAAGGCGGCAGCGATGAAGGCGGCGACGATAACAGCGATGACGAGACGAGTTCACTTCCAGAACCGGCAGTCCAGAACTCAAGCTTTCCGCTGCTTATATTCTTCTTGGCGTCGCTTGGCACGCCAAAGATAGGGTTAGGGGGTAGGTTTAGGGTTAGAGGGTTATGGTTACCGGGTTAGGGGGTAGGGGTTATGGTTTAGGGTTATGTTTTAGGGTTATGGTTTAGGGTTATGGTTTAGGGTTTTAGTTTAGGGTTGTGGTTTAGGGTAATGGTTTAGGGTAATGGTTTAGGGTTATGGTTTAGGGTTATGGTTTAGGGTTATGGTTTAGGGTTAGGGTTCAGGGTTCAGGGTTAGGGCAGGGGTGGGCAAACTTTTTCACTCGCGGGCCACAATGGGTTCTAAAATTTGACAGAGGGGCCGGGCCAGGAACAGATGGATGGAGTGTTTGTGTGAACTAATATAAATGACATGTAAAAATGATTACATGAAAGGATTTGGCCTTTAACAGGTAGCAAAGCATTTATTTGCAAGGCAATTTAACAAATTGCACGAACATGAACAATACAAAAACATGTCGTAACGTGACTGATCAAACATCATGAAAACATCTGAGGCCTGCGCCAAACCAATTACCTCACTTGAACTTCTTTAGTATCTACATTAACAGGTTAGAGCAGCCACGCAGGCTGTGTGATGGAGATTTGGCTCCAACCTCGCTGCAGCAACACATCATCACTTTCAGTTTCAGTGGGAACAGTGTTGTTGATCTCCCATTTTTGCCAGTGCATCCAAGTCTGGAGTTATTTTGGTTGTGGCAATTCTCAGGATAAATCTGAGGTGCTGATCCGTTAACTTTTATCTGTGACGGGCTTTGTTGGCGTTCATGACGCTGAATGTCTGCTCACACACATGTCGAGCCAAACAAAGTCAGTATCTTCTGTGCAGTCCTCCGGAGGTTTGGAAACGTGGCTCTGTTAAGTGAGGCATAAAAGTAATTCAGTTTAACTTCTCCTTTAGGACGGAGTCAGACTGAAGATCTATCAGTTCCAACAGCAGCTCCTGTGGTGCTGTTTCAGGGTCTTGTGACAGGGGACAGGACACCAGCTGAAGTGACTGTTCAATGTTTCGAAATCAGAGAACCTATGGCAGAATTCTCCGTGCAGGTCCTCAAGTGATTTGCTGTATTTTTTTGCGTTTCGCGGTGCCTCTTCCTGCATGGCAAGTGTGGGGAAATGAGGAAAAGATTTGTTCGCAATTTGTCCGGAGAACAAAGTGAGCTTGGATTTGAAGGCTTTCACATGTTTGTACATGTCGTGAACAAACTGATCTTTCCCCTGCAGTTTCACATTCAGCTCATTCATGTGTGAAAATGTCCACAGCAAACGCAAAGTCACTAAGCCAGTTCTTGTCGCTTAGCTCGGGGAATTCGTCAGATTTCCCCATCAACTCCAAAAATGCGATGATATCTTCTTTCAGCTCCAACACTCGTTGTAACACTTTTCCCAAACTTAACCAGCAGACACGAGAGTGGTACAGCAAGTCCTGATGATCCGCATCAGTTTCTTCCAGGAACTGTGAAGTCCCCTTGCTCGTATAAAGTTCACAAGTTTTACGACTGGATTCACGACATGATTAAGCTGCAATACAGACTTACATAGGGATTCCTGATGGATGATGCAGTGAAGGAAAATAAGATCCTGGACAGGGTTTTCCTCTTTCACTTTATCCTGGATTCTTTTCAACAGCTCAACATTTTTTCCAGTTAAATTTGGCGTTCCATCCGTTGTGGCATTGACAAGTTTACTCCAAGGTAGCGTCATTCTTTTGATGACAGCAGATACCTGGTTATACAAGTCCTCTCCCCGCGTTGTTCCTTTCAGGGACTCCATGGTCAAAAACTCCTCTGTTATCGCAAAACTGTCGTCAATGCCTCGGATAAAAATGAGGAGCTGAGCAGTGTCTTTTACGTCCGTACTTTCATCCAGTGCTAGTGAATATAATTCAAAGGAAACAGACTTTTTGTTTAATTGACTGGCTATATTTTATCAATCAGTTCCACACGGCGAGTCACAGTCCTGCGTGATAAACTGACTTTTTCAAATTTGCTTTTGATCTCCGGACACAAGATGTCTGCTGTCTGTACCATGCATTCTTTTGCAAACTTGCCTTCGGAGAAAGTGGTAATGAGTGGTAATGTTGGTGAGAAGAAGTTTTTAAAGAAAATTTAAATCGAAGTGAAGAAGGAAATTATTGAAAAGTTTGTATAATTAATGATTTTTCAAACTTTAAGTATGTTTTCTGTGCTTAAAACTCTTTAAAAAAAACTGTGGGGTCTAGAACGGACTCGTGAAATTCGGAGAGAACTCGGAGTTAAGTTTAGTTGTTTTGTTGAATTACACAAAGCGCAACAGTTATGTATATAACTTTTGTTATATAAAATTCCTAGTAAGATATTAATTTTGTGATGTAGTTATACCCCTCCCCCTCATTCAAGCCGTAATTTAGAGAGCGAAAGCGCCGAGTACGTAAATCGCTAACATAAGAACCCGTTAATCTCTTCTCGCATCATTCATACGATGATGCGGTGAAGTAAACGTTCATACGATATTACAGTGAATGCTTACAAAAACAATACTGTACCCAAATATTACTGTTATCTTACTTTCAATAGAAACATGAATTGCTCATACGAATATTCTCTCTCTCTCCTGGTCAAAGTGCGCCATCTATTGGGGAAATTACAGGAGGAAGGTAAAATTTAATTTAATAATATTTGGACAAGTTCGGCGGGACGGATTAAAAAGCCCAACGGGCTGTACTTTGCCCATGTCTGGTATAGAGTCTTGATGAGGGAATTCTTCTGGGATGGATGGTGGTGGGAATCCGGTTTTAGGTAAGCATCCGTATGGGTGGCTTTCCTGTAGACAGAGTGGCTCATTGAACCATCAGGTCTCCATTTAATTAGGACATCCAAAAAGAGTAGCTTGCCATCTTTTTCGACTTCCATGGTGAATCTGATGGCTGGGTGTATGGAATTGATGTGGTTGAGGAATTGGTCTAGAGCAGGCCGGCCATGTGGCCAGATGACAAAAGTGTCATCTACGTACCTCTTCCATAAGGTCGGGCGTAGAGTGGCAGTCTGGATGGCGTCAGTCTCAAATATCTCCATGAAAACGTTGTCTACAACCGGAGATAGGGGGGGGGGCCCATTGGGGTGCCCTCAGTTTGTTTGCAGAAAGTTCCATTCCAGGTGAAGTATGTATTGGTTAAGCAGTGTCTCACCAGGGGGGGTACCTCAGTATTCAGTCCTTGATGAACCAAGTCTTCAATGATTGCGATGGTGTCAGGTACAGGAACTTTGGTGAATAAGGAAACCACATCAAAACTGACAAGCAGGTCGTCTGGAGACAGGGAAACGTCGTGAGAATTGTATTTTATAATGAATGCTTTTTATTATTTAATTATTTCCCTTCTACGTGACTTTACCGAAAGAACCAAAAAGCAAAATGAAAATTCGCTGAAATAACTTAACCAACATGTCTTAATTTTGGAGCTTTCGTGACTGCAGGAATTATTCTTTGGTTCTTTCGGTTAAGTCACGTCTAAAGATAAAATAATAAATTAAATAATAGCATATTACGACGTTTCGATTGCAACACAAGCAATCATCAGGCATAAAATAAACAAAAATCGAACTAGAAAACTATAGACAAACATACAAGCAGACAGACATCACAAGGACACACAGAGAGAGAACACATATCGGCACAAAGAGAGAGGGCGTTTCTGTGACGGGGCCTTAAATATAGAGAGGGGGGCGGGGGCAGAAAAAAATTAGCATATCAATGAGTGGACGACAACGTGATGCTGCAAGTAAGATGACGACGCGGCACGGCACGCAAGCATCTTACTTGCAGCATCACGTTGTCGTCCACTCATTGATATGCTAATTTTTTCTCTGCCCCCTCCCTCTCTCCGCCCCCCTCTCTATATTTAAGGCCCCGTCACAGAAACGCCCTCTCTCTTTGTGCCGATATGTGTTCTCTCTCTGTGTGTCCTTGTGATGTCTGTCTGCTTGTATGTTTGTCTATAGTTTTCTAGTTCGATTTTTGTTTATTTTATGCCTGATGATTGTTTGTGTTGCAATCGAAACGTCGTAATATGCTATTATTTAATTTATTATTTTATCTTTAGACGTGACTTAACCGAAAAAACCAAAGAATAATTCCTGCAGTCACAAAAGCTCCGAAATGAAGATTGATTTAGATTCATTTTCCATTGCTCCCTCCCTTGAATAGAGACCCCTTGGGTGTATGAGCTCAGCAACAACAATGTGGACATTATTGTGTGTGTGTGTACACTGTGTGTGTGTTCACTGTGTGTGTGTGTGTACACTGTGTGTGTACACTGTGTGTGTGTATACTGTGTACACACTGTGTGTGCACAGTGTGTGTGTACACTGTGTGTGTGTGCACACTGTGTGTGTGTATACTGTGTGTATACTGTGTGTGTGTGCACACTGTGTGTGTGTATACTGTGTGTACACACTGTGTGTGCACACTGTGTGTACAGTGTGTGTGCACACTGTGTGTGTGTGTGTGTACGCATACACACTGTGTGTGTATACTGTGTGTGCACACTGTGTGTGTGTGTGTACACTGTGGGGGGCACAGTAATCTCAGTCAGTCGACCAATGGCATCTTTTCACCAATTTATTTTCCAACTTTTTCATTGTATTTATTATTTTATATAATATTGTTCATTTTCTATCTGCGTAACTTTACCAAAAGAACCAATACTATGATAGCGCATTCTCTGTTTTTTGCAGAGGTTCAAGGTTCAAATCCGACAGGCACACCTGGCTACCCCAGTAACATTCGCAAAAATATGCGCAGTCTGCTTAACGGCAGATGTAAAACAAAGCGTTGCGTCATTCACAACGCACAAATGCATGTTGGTGTCACGGTCAACATTGGGGTAATGCCAAACATTATCCAGAAACTACACAATGGAGATGGCACGTCAATGATCGCCCCCTACCGACAGACTCGTGTCCACGTGCAGGCTGGTGCAGGGCCACCACCTTGTGCCACACAGGGGCAGCTGCCACTTAGGGGGGGCACCTTTAGATTGTTTGACATGAGATTCGATACGAAACACCGAGTTGCTGAGGCAATTAGGCAAGCGACTTATGAGTGGAAATATGATGTTTGTAACGTAGTAAATGCTTGGGAGCTTCATTGTCTCTCGCTCCTGCCGACAGATTTACCCAGCCTACAGCTCCACAGATACCAGCCCCTCCTACTCTGCAGGGACAGCTACGCATGGTTCGAAATAAGTTCTAGATACACACAGACTCACGCAGAGATCCATAGATTAGCACCGTTGGTTACGTATGGTGCGAAAGACGTTCACCATACACACAGAGACCTATAGATGTGCATGGTTGGCTATGTATGGTGTGAAAGAAGTTCCAGTCGCGTGTAGTCGTGGGCCGTGGAAGTTGAACAGGCGCGTGTTGCTACTGACAGTAGTTGCATATGGTTGGATTGACGCTGATCGAGACAACCGCTATTCGCCACTAAGTCGCGGTGACGTCACCACGACGCTTGTGCCAGGCTATGTGCATCTTGAGGCCACGTGAAGTGTCGAACGCCCGCTGGCAGGTCACGGGGCAGACCCAGGTGCCACGGGTCGACTGAGATGACTGGCTGATGCACCACCTGTACCCCTACTGTGCCAACTTGCTGTGCTTAGCCACCCGGTGCCCCGCTCGATGTTGAGCGTCACTCCTCCACCCTCCGTTGTTGTGGAGGGCGACTGCCTTGGGATGAACTGTGTAGACTCGTCCTAAGCCATCAGATTCACCGTCAGCAGCACGTCGCTTTGTCCCGCATCGTGCGGCAAAACTACTTGCCAACCGCAGATTTTAGCGAGTGGTACCAGGCATTTTTTTTCCGTAAACCCCAGTTAGAGAGAAAAATCCCTCGCAAGCGCGTGAACACACAGACAAAAAATGACATTTATATATAACGCTCTACTTAAACTGTGATGAATGCTGCACTTTTTCTTTTTCATGCAGGGGGCGCTGTAAACCTACGTGCCCCCTGCATGAACGACGGAGGCGCAGGGACAGACGGTCGATCACGTTGGAATCGATCTGCAGACGGCAGTCTTCTCGCACGGCCAGCTCTGTCGCCTCATCTCGATCCCGCGATCCCAACCAGGTGAAAGTCCGTATATCGAACCGAATCCCCGGCAAAGCCATCTACTTCACGACGAGAGAAAATTCACACGAAATGTCGTTTTCAATTAAGTCTTCCAGATGTAAAATGATATAAGCTTTCATTGAAGAAACAAAATTCAAAACATAATACAATTCAAAGTCGTTTCATTTTAAAACTTCAAAACGGAGCATCGGGTGCTTGCGTGGATGCGTCGTTCGTCTGCAATTTATTCGTGACCTTCCTGGCCCAAGGCCGTAAATGGTTGTGAGGGGCACCGCAGGCGGTCAAGGCTTGCTTCAACCCCATGGTTGTGAACATCCAGACGTTAATCGGCAAGGACCATTTCTCGTCCTAATTCGACAAAATCTACGTCAACACGTAATACAAAATTATTATTCGTGTTGTAGAGAATGTATCTCCTCTACGTGTAACTTTTGAGTGGTATGCCTTGTAACTGATGAATGATCCGAGTGTGCTCACTATTTCAAAGACAATGAGTTGCTCCAGAGATGCTTCCTGAAAACACAAAAGTACCCTTTGACCTGTATCACAAGAACAATGAGTCTCACCTGAGTTATCTGACCAGGTTACTTGCAAAACACACACTGTGTTCTAACATGACTTATTAAATGTTTGACCCTTGTAGACAAAATGTTACACGTACGCACACCATCAGACAAGCATTCATTCTAAATTCGTGACAGGCATATGAACAAAATTGAATTACTGCACTGAAATATACTGCATTAGGTTACATCCTATTAACAAGAAGCTAATTAAAAAAATACGCACCGTCTGCTTAACAGTGTATGTACAACATACTAATGCACCATTCAAAACGAGTCGGCCATTGCATGCTGGCATCTGGGTAAAAAGGTAGCAAATTCTAAACATTACCTACAAACTCCACAACCAAGATGCCACATCAACCATCGCCCCCTACTGACAGGCTCTTGTCCACATGCAGGCCGGTGCAGGGCCACCACCTTGTGCCACACAGGGGCAGCTGCTACTTGGGGATGCTCTTAGAATGTTTGAAAAGAGATATGCTACAACACTCCGAGTTGCCAGAGGCGATTAAGCAAGCACCATATAAATGCAATTATGATAACATAGCAAATGCTTGGGAGCTTATTGGCTCTCGCTCCTGGTTAGAAATCTACCCAACACACAGGTCCACAAAGACCTGTGACAAAGTTGCATCGATTGGAGCGGCATCGTCTGAAGCTTACACATCTACCGGGTCTCCATTTGACTTTCTATTGTCTCGGAGGAAGTCCACCCACACCTCCACTTCCACAAACTGCTGGGAGTTGCCTCGCTCTGCCTCACAGTCAGAATTCTCCTCCTGCTTCATGTTGCCTCCATCAATGTGAAGGTCCGATTTGGGAGTTGAATCTTCATCTTCACATTTTACCTTCACTTCTTGGCTCTTCACCATCACTTCTTCACATTTCACCTTCACCTCTTCATATTTCACCTCGTTACCTTTAAAAGTGTCCAAGCTGGGATTGTCGTCCGGTTCTTGTTTGAGGGATGGGCTCATTGCGGCACTCTGACTTTTACAATTATATTTCACACTCCACTCCTGGTGGAGATTCAGATGCTTGTGTGTTCTCTGGTGTCTTTGCAGATGTGGTGACTGTGCAAACGCCTTCCCGCACACACTGCACTTGAAGGGTTTCTCTCCCGTGTGTGTTCTCTGGTGATCTACAAGAGTAGATGACCGTGCAAACGTTTTCCCACACACACTGCACTTGAAGGGTTTCTCTCCCGTGTGTGTTCTCTGGTGATCTACAAGAGTAGATGACCGTGCAAACGTTTTCCCACACACACTGCACTTGAAGGGTTTCTCTCCCGTGTGTGTGCTCTGGTGTTTTATAAGAGTAGATGACTGTGAAAACGCCTTCCCACACACACTGCACGTGAAGGGTTTCTCTCCCGTGTGTGTTCTCTGGTGTCTTTGAAAATGTGATGACTGTGAAAACGCCTTCCCACACACACTGCACTTAAAGGGCTTCTCTCCCGTGTGTGTTCTCTGGTGTTTTACAAGAGTAGATGACTGTGAAAACGACTTCCCACACACACTGCACTTGAAGGGTTTCTCTCCTGTGTGAGTTCTCTGGTGTGCTTCACAAGATGACTGTGCAAACGCCTTCCCACACACACTGCACTTGAAGGGTTTCTCTCCCGTGTGTGTTCTCTTGTGTGTTACAAGAGCAGATGAACGTGCAAACGCCCTCCCACACACACTGCACTTGAAGGGTTTCTCTCCTGTGTGAGTTCTCTGGTGCTGTGTCAAATGTCCAGGACGATCCGTGCTGTATGCACACCGGTCGCATTGATGCCTTTTTGCACCGAGCTGCGCCAAGTGCCTTTGCTCCATCAGACCAATTCTGCAGAGGAAGCAACAGCTGCAGACAGAAAAAGAATATCCACACCATCTACACGTCAGTATCGAGGCACAGAGGAATGCATATACAGTCACACGTGACTTACACGTCTAAACTTATTCATATATTCATGATATAGTGAAAACGTTTACCAAATTCATCACACGGGCTGTTATGGCACACAACGAGAGGGTGAATGGTCACAAACATGCCTGGAAGCCCGAGTATCTTCAAAATGAATGTTAACCCAAAACTCAGAGCACACAATTTCGGCTGTCTGGCTAGAAAACAAATATTTATAAAAGCTAAATTCAACTGACATAGCAAAAAGTGTTGAAAATAATACTATTTGTGTTATGTATAAATGCATAAATTAATGTTCAATCGCAACTTAGAGGTGTGAAGCCAGCCAGGCTCACGATGTCCTTGAATGCTGGGATGAACAGATCTGACTTCAGCTGCATGTGTGTGCTGTGTTAACTTCTTGACTGTTTCCATTCTTACAAAGAGTTCCAGAGGAAAACAAAAAACAAACTACAGCTTTGATATAACCTCCCTGTTCAATAGAGTTAATAGACTTTACTGCAAACACAAACTTTACACTGTCACACACTGGCATGGTTAACAGGTGGTGGTGTATTAATGCTTCCTTACTCCACCTAGAAATTCATTGAGGATCAATCAACATCGCCGAGGCTGTGTGTCTCTCTCCTCGTGGTGAGATGTTAACTACCTCTCCTGGCATACAGGAAGTCGTGGGTTCGATCCCAACCCTGATGCTGGCTGTATATTTGGAGTTTGCGTGTCTTTCTCTCCCCGTGGTCGCATTCGATTTCCAGCCGGATCCCCCGGTTGTCCCCACTCTACATGCAGAGAGTGAACACCACCACGTGTCTAGAGTGAACACCGCCACACGTCCAGAGTGAACACCGCCACACGTCCAGAGTGAACACCGCCACACGTCCAGAGTGAACACCGCCACACGTCCAGAGTGAACACCGCCACGCGTCCAGAGTGAACACCGCCACGCAACCAGAGTGAACACCGCCACGCGTCTAGAGTGAACACCGCCACGCATTTGACAAGCCCCACCTTGTTGTTATAGTTGTTGTGGGCAGGTCGCTTCTGAAAACAAGAGCGGTATAGCAGCTCAAACGGGCGTGGCCTGGTAAAAAATGGAAAAAACTGTGAATATTTAAAATAAAACAAAGTTACAAACTAGCGAGACAGGTGAAGAGAAATTAAAACTTAAGCAAGAAACTCTTTGGTACTTTCGGTAAGTCATGTATAAATAAATAGCATACGACGTTTCGATTGCAACACAAGCAATCATCATCAGGTACAAATGAAAGAGGAAACAAACATTGTAAACTTAGATATACAATGCAATACAACACAGAGTTGGCTAACATAACAGTCAACACCCCACCTGGTTGATTACGTTCTTCCAAAGATTGCTCAAATTGAGAGAGAGACAAAACACAGACACGGAGACACAGACAGAGAGAGATGACACAGAGACACACAGAGAGACACACACATAGGCACACAGGGATAGATGACAGAGACAGACACGCACATATATACACAGAGAGAGATGACACAAAGCCACACAGAGAGAGAGACACACACAAGCACAGAGAAACAACGCCTCTGTGTCGAAGCCTAAAATATAGAGAGGGGGGGGGGTGTAGAGAAATTAGCATGTCAATGCAAGGCCGTAGTCATGGAGTCAACATTGGGGGGGACCAAATATTCCAGGGGTCTGGGGTCCCCACCCCCAGAAAAAAATAATCTAAATTTGAAAACTAATTTCCTGCCATTTCCTCCCTAAAATATATTTTTTATAAAGTTCACTAACACATGGGATGGAATTTATTTGATTTGATACAATAATGTCTAATAATGTATTGTAATACATTGCTCTGTTTTTTTTATTTTTTACCTTTTCTTGTTTCATAGTTATTAACATAGCATCGCAATTACTATTTTTAACAAATATTTTATAGCAATAAATTGGGGGGGGGGGGTGTGTCCCCCCCCCCCAATAATCATTACACTCGCCACAGGCCCTATGCGTACACGCCACAGGCCCTATACTTACACGCCACAGGCCCTACACTTACACGACACAATCCCTACACTTACACGCCACAAGCCCTATACTTACACGCCACAGGCCCTACACTTACACGCCACAATCCCTACACTTACACGCCACAAGCCCTATACTTACACGCCACAGGTTCTATACTTACACGCCACAGGCCCTATACTTACACGCCACAGGCCCTACACTTACACGCCACAATCCCTACACTTACACGCCACAGGCCCTACACTTACACGCCACAGGCCCTACACTTACACGCCACAGGCCCTACACTTACACGCCACAGGCCCTACACTTACACGCCACAGGCCCTACACTTACACGGCACAAGCCCCATACTTACATGCCACAAGCCCCATACTTACACGCCACAAGCCCTACACTTACACGCCACAAGCTCTATACTTACACGCGACAAGCCCTACACTTACACGCCACAAGCCCTATACTTACCGCCACAAGCCCTATACTTATCGCCACAAGCCTTAAACTTATCGCCACAAGCCTTATACGTATCGCTAAAAGCCTTATACTTATTACAACCTTATACTTATTACAACCTTATACTTATTACAACCTTATACTTATTACAACCTTATACTTTTACGTGGTTGTTTAGTTACTGCAGATACATACTATTAACATTCCTTCTCTTTATTAATGCTACCCCTACCCCCTCCCTTTGATGCTGCTAATCCTGCATAATGCACGGACATAATGACTTAAAACCCCTCGCCAAACCTCCTACGCATTTCAACACCAGTACTAATCGCATATCTGCATTTCCCATAAATATGCTAAATTCCTCTCCGCAGGGAATTGATTCTTTGCTCCGCTGCAAGTTTCCCACCACCACTCTCCCATTGACATATTTCGTTGCTTCCTCTTAGTATCTTTCACTTGACGGTCAATGGTATAGTGTATAGCTGATTGTATAATAATAAATAGTATACAATTGTAATGTTTTATACAATGTAAAAAGTAATATATAGTATCGTAATTGTATAGTGAATATACAGCAGTGTGATATACAGTAGGGTAGGTAGAATACATAGTGTAATATTACAATGTATAAGGTATAGAGTGATGTATTATAATAATATAGTATGTAATTTAATGTTGGGTTTGTCTATGGCAGTATATAGTACGGGGTATACCCGTGTGATGTAAGAGAATAAAGTTTAGCTGGAAGCATATTATATTTTTTGCAACGTAGAATTGTAATGTATTACTTACTGTTAGTAGCTCAGCTTATTGAAGAGTATATTTAGTATACCTTAGTTGTTTACGTGGTGGTTTAGTTACTGCAGATACATACTATTAACATTCCTTCTCTCTATTAATGCTACCCCTACCCCCTCCTTTGATGCTGCTAATCCTGCATAATGCACGGGCATAATGACTTTAAACCCCTCGCCAAACCTCCTACGCATTTCACAAGAAGTACTAATCACATATCTGCATTTCCCATAAATATGCTAAATTTCCTCTTGATATGCAAATTCTTTTGTCAGGGCGCTCTTCCCCCTCCAACCCAGCTTAAATATACGCTCTAAGCCTGGGGTTGTCATTCAGACTGTCTTTCCGACAGACATGTTCTTCACCTGAGGACGGCTGCTTGCGTTGTGGCCGAAACGTCGTGAGAATTATTTTATTTTATTATTTCCATTCTACGTTACTTTACCGAAAGAACCAAGAAGATGAACCTTATACTTATTACTACACCACATTACACTTATTACTACACCACATTACACTTATTACTACACTGCATTACACTTATTACTACACCACATTACACTTATTACTACACCACATTACACTTATTACTACACCACATTACACTTATTACTACACTGCATTACACTTATTACTACACCACATTACACTTATTACTACACTGCATTACACTTATTACTACACCACATTACACTTATTACTACACCACATTACACTTATTACTACACCACATTACACTTATTACTATACCGCATTACACTTATTACTACACTGCATTACACTTATTACTACACTGCATTATACTTATTACTACACCACATTACACTTATTACTACACTGCATTACACTTATTACTACACCACATTACACTTATTACTACACCACATTACACTTATTACTACACCACATTATACTTATTACTACACCACATTATACTTATTACTACACCACATTACACTTATTACTACACCACATTGCACTTATTACTACACCACATTACACTTATTACTACACACATTACACTTATTACTACACACATTACACTTATTACTACACACATTACACTTATTACACATATTACACTTATTACACATTACACTTATTATAACATTATACTTGTTATAACATATTATAATTACGGCTTTGTGTCAATGAGAGATTTGGAGGTTTGGTGACTGCACTTAATCAAACAAACTTTGTAACATCTTCTTGTTTTTTTCGGTAAAATAAAACATGTTTTATTTTTATTATTTTATTACTTCCCTTCTACGTGACTTTACCGAAAAAAACAAGAAGATGAATCCCTGCAGTCACGAAAGCTTTAAATCGAAACTTCGTAACATTTGAAATGTAATGCAATGCAACACAGAGAGTCGGTCAACACACAATTGACGCATCGCCTGGCTGATTGCGTTCTTCCACAGATTGCTAAACTAAGCGAGAGAATTGAAGCAAACGCGATCAGGCGAGGGCAGGAGGCAAGGCCCCGCGTTGTAAAGTTCCAACGTGGACATCGCTTCCATGCTCGCTGCTACTCAATTGACATCCCTACGAGAGAGAGAGAGCGAGGCTCTACCTCGGTAAACAACCACCACCACAACCACAACAACAACCACCACCACAACCACCACCACAACCACCACAACAACAACAACCACCACAACAACCACCACAACAACCACCACCACAACAAACACCACCACAACCACCACCACCACAACAACCACCACAACAACAACCACCACCACAACAAACACCACAACAACAACAACCACCACAACCGCGATGAGAATTTCTCACCTCGGATTTCAGTGCACGGGCCGAGCGGCAACTTCCTGGTCCCTCGTGACGTCACGCGGCAGCAGGTGACATGACGTCACTTGCGGGGAACGATGACACTCCCCTCCCACAATGAGCGGCTCTCAACTCGCGACGGCTTTCATGAAAATATTATGTTAATGAGCCGCCAGTTACCGGGCGTGGCTTCGCCCAAATAAGGATTGGCACTGGGAAAGTTATCGGCAGCGGCTGAGTGGATGTGACGTCACGCTCAAGAAGACGGGGGTCGGGGGGTGAGTGACATGACGTCACTAACGAGGCACACCTCCCCCTGGCGTTTGACGCCGATGAGGTCACGCTGAGCGGTGACGTCAGAGAGCGGGGTCAGAGTTCAAGTTTGTTGACAGAAAGTGAGCGGCAGTGTCGACTCAGCCTCAAACGAGTCCCCGGTGCGGTGTGTAGTCAACATCGCCAGCACTGGGGAGACAAAGGCGGCCGGGCGTGGTGCTGGCCACCCACCCCCCCCCCTCGTGTGCCGTGACGTGGCTTGGCTCTCCAGCACACCGCTGGCGACATTTCACGATGACATTTTCACGTCCATGAAAAGACAATCGTCATACTAACCTAGGCCGTTTTTTGGCAAAATTTACCCAATTTTCCGAGCTTTGTTTTTCTACTAAAAGTGCATTCCTTGGTTGTGTTTAGCCTGAGTAGCCCATATATTATGTAAAAAAGTGGGGAATTTCATGCATGAAATTTTCGAATATAAAAAAGTTAATCGGCATACTGTGCCGATTTTTAGCCCAAATAAGCCCAACTTTCACAGCTTTATTTTTGGACGAAAGTTAAGTCCTCTATTGTATTTACCCTTAGTATGCCATGTATTAGATTAAAAGTGGAACATTTTATGATGAAATGTTCACGTCCCAATATAGAAAATCGGCATACTAGCCTAGGCCGTTTTTGGCCAATAATGGCCAAATTTTTACAGCTTCATTTTTCAATAAAAGTGCAATCCTCGGGTGTGCTTAGCCTTAGTATCCTATATATTACGATAAAAAGTGGGAAATTTCACCATGAAATTTTTTAGTAAAAAAATAAAATCGGCCAAAATTGGCCAAACTTTCACAGCCTTATTTGTCGAAAAAAGTTCATTGGCTCCATTGTATTTAGCCTTAGTATGCTATGTATTAGATTAAAAGTGGAAAATTTCACGATGAAATGTTCACGTCCCAAACAGAAAATCGACATACTAACCTCTACCGTTTTTGGCTAAAATTTTACGACTTTTACAGCTGTATTTTTAAATAAAAAGTGCATTCCTCGGTTGTGTTGAGCCTGAGTAGCCGATATATTACATTAAAAGTGGGAAATTTCACCATGAAATTTGAAGTAAAAAGATCAAATCGGCATACTTTACCAATGCCGTTCTTGGGCAAAATTCGCTACATTTCCATAGCTAGATTTTCCAAGAAAAAGTGAATTCCTCCATTTTGTTAACCATTAGTATGCTCTATGTTACTTTAAAAGTGGGGAATTTCACCAAAGGAAATGCCCCACACCAGGCCCTGGCTCCACAAGATACCACCCTTATGGCGTTCTTGGTTTTGTGCCCAAGTGACACATTTGCTGCCAACCTGCTCTACCATTAAGTTCCCTCCGACTATACACGGACTGCTAAAAACATGGAAGCGAAGTGCTGCTGACGGTGAATCGGATGCCTTAGGACGAGTCTACACAGTTCATCCCAACAATCAGCAGTGCTACTTTCTCCCAATGCTTCTCCATGTTGCCAAAGGGCACACATCTTTTCAAGACCTATAAACAGTGGAACGAGTTGTCTGTCAAACATACAGGAAAGCTTGCAATCTTCGTGCAATTCTTGCGCATGATCACCTTATTCATAAAGCTTTGACAGAAGCTTCTGTTGGTCAGTCCCCTTTCCAACTGACATTGCTCTTCTGCATGACTCTTCAAGTTTGCAGCCCATCTAACCCCATGGGACTCTGGCAAAAATACAAAGAGGGCATGAGAGAGGACATCCTCCACGGAGCTCAATAACAAGATACTAACCTGGACGTCAACTTTTCTGATGTTATCTTCAAACAGGCCCTCATCCTCCTTCACGACAAACTGCACTCCATTGCTGGGAAATACTTCACGTCTATGGGACCACCAACACCCTACAGGGACAACCTGCATGCCCTTGCTCAAGAGATACTACGTGAAATATGCTATTATGCTTGACAGATTCTTAAAAACTTTAGGAAAATTAACCAAAGCTGATGGATGCACAAATAGAAGCCTACACGGAAATCTTGGAAGACATTAAGACTACAAATCGAGTCATTTTTATCCTTGATGCACCTGCCAGTACTGGGAAGACCTTTGTTTTGAAACTGCTCCTCGCAAAGGCTCGCCAGAGAGAGAAAATTGCTCTAGCTGTGGCATCACAGGGGATTGCTGTGTAAGTCAATGTGTGTGTGAGTCGATGTGTGTGTTTAGGTACATGTGTGTGTGTAAGTCGGAGTATCTGTATTTTTTTTTGCCCAGGCAATGCCAGATGTTTGTGTGTGTACGTCGATGCGTGCGTAAGTCCAAGTGTCCATGTGTGTGTGTCAGTCACTGTGTGTGTGTTAGTCCATGTGTGTGCATGGCTTCATGTGAGTCACTGTGTGTGTGCGTCTATCTGTGTCAGTTGATGTGTGTATGTACATCGATGTGTATGTGTTAGTCCATGTGTGTGTTAGTCCAAAGGTGTTCGCTAACAGCACTTGCCCCTACAGTCTGTTAAGGCTGTATGGGGGATCTTTGTATTTGTGTTGGGAGCAAGTTTGAGTGGCGTGTAGTCGTGGGAGCTGAACGGGCGCCTGCTGCTACTGACAGTCGTTGACTCCGGTGGGACAGACGCTGATAGACAGACGTGCGTGCACGCGCGTGCACGCGGGTGCACGTGCACGTGCACGTGCCGTGCACGTGCCGTGTGTGCACACGCGTGCACGTGTGTGCACGTCTGTGCACGTGCGTGCGCGTGCGTGCGCGTGCGTGCGCGTGCGTGCACACGCGTGCACGTGTGTGCACGTGGGTGCACGTGTGTGCACGTGCGTGCACGTGCGTGCACGTGCGTGCACGTGTGTCCACGTGCGTGCACGTGCGTGCACGTGTGTGCACGTGTGTGCACGCGCGTGCACGTGTGTGCACGTCTGTGCACGTGCGTGCGCGTGCGTGCGCGTGCGTGCGCGTGTGTGCACGTGCGTGCACATGTGTGCGTGCGCGTGCACGTGTGTGCGTGCGCGTGCGTGCGCGTGCGTGCGCGTGCGTGCAAACGCGTGCACGTGTGTGCACGCGTGTGCACGTGGGTGCACGTGTGTGCACGTGCGTGCACGTGCGTGCACGTGCGTGCACGTGTGTGCACACGCGTGCACGTGGGTGCACGTGCGTGCACGTGCGTGCGTGCGCGTGCGTGCACGTGTGTGCACGTGCGTGCACATGTGTGCGTGCGCGTGCACGTGTGTGCGTGCGTGCACGTGTGTGCACACGCGTGCACGTGTGTGCACGTGCGTGCGCGTGCGTGCGCGTGCGTGCGCGTGCGTGCGCGTGTGTACACACACGCGCGTGCACGTGTGTGCACGTGGGTGCACGTGCGTGCACGTGTGTGCACGTGCGTGCACGTGCGTGCACGTGCCTGCACGTGCGTGCACGTGGGTGCACGTGCGTGCACGTGCGTGCACGTGGGTGCACGTGCGTGCACGTGCGTACACGTGGGTGCACGTGCGTGCACGTGCGTGCACGTGGGTGCACGTGCGTGCACGTGCGTGCACGTGTGTGCGTGCGTGCACGTGTGTGCGTGCGTGCACGTGTGTGCACACGCGTGCACGTGTGTGCACGTCTGTGCACGTGCGTGCGCGTGCGCGTGCGTGCGCGTGCGTGCGCGTGCGTGCGCGTGCGTGCACGTGCGTGCGCGTGTGTACACAAACGCGCGTGCACGTGTGTGCACGTGTGTGCACACACGTGCACACACGTGCACGCACGTGTGTGCACGTAGGTGCACGTGCGTGCACGTGTGTGCGTGCGCGTGCGTGCGCGTGCGTGCGCGTGCGTGCAAACGCGTGCGTGCACGCGTGTGCACGTGGGTGCACGTGTGTGCACGTGCGTGCACGTGTGTGCACACGCGTGCACGTGGGTGCACGTGCGTGCACGTGCGTGCACGTGTGTGCACGTGCGTCCACGTGCGTGCACGTGCGTGCACGCGTGTGCACGTGTGTGCACGTGTGTGCACACGTGTGTGCACGTGTGTGCACGTGTGTGCACGTGTGTGCACGTGTGTGCGTGCGCGTGCGTGCGTGCGCGTGCGCGCGCGTGCGCGTGCGTGCGCGTGCGTGCACGTGCGTGCGTGTGCGTGCGCGTGGGTGCACGTGCACCTGTGTGCACGTGCACGCGGGGGCACGGTATTTTTCAACCTTGGACCTTTTGTCGGGGTTTTGGCAACTGCCCTTGGATGACGCTTCCAAACCTAAGACCGCGTTCCGTACGCCACAGGGCCTTTATCAGTTCAACTGGTTGCCCATGGGATTGCACTCAGCTCCAGCGACGTTCCAGAGATTGATGGAACTGGTCCTCGCTGGCCTGCAGTGGGACTCTTGTCTTATATATCTGGACGACGTGATTATTTTCAGCCGTACGTTTGAGGAACATCTGGACAGACTGCGGGCTGTATTTCTCAGAGTGCGATCGGCTAACCTTAAATTTAAGCCTCAGAAATGTTTCCTGTTGCGTGAATCGGTGCGGTACCTCGGCCACGTTGTCAGTTCTACGGGTATAGCCACCGATCCTGCTAAAACTGACTGTGTAAGGTCGTGGCCCACACCCACGTCTGTGGGGGAAGTCCGCAGCTTTATAGGCTTTGCGTCCTATTACCGCCGGTTTGTTGAGGGGTTTGCGACGATCGCCAAACCCCTTCATGCTCTGACGGCTAAGGGGGCTAAATTCCATTGGGGGGAAGAGGAAGACAGGGCGTTCAGGGCGCTTCGCGATGCCCTTGTCCGAGCTCCTCCCTTGTGCTATCC